GAAAATCAGAATAAATTTTTCAAATTTATTTCAAAACACCTGAGCCGCTACTCATTTTCAAAACGAACTTCAATACTTAACCAATTTCTCAATACTCAATCAATCATCAAGCTCAATCATCAACAATATTACTATCTACCAAAACGGGTTTCTCAAAATTCATAAATCACCCAAATCGGGTTTCAATAATATTCATAAATTCTAAGGAGCATCTCCTTAACATTATTCAAGTCATAAAATCCAATATTCATAAATGCAATAATACTCCAAATTCATAGTCATAAAATCCAGAATTCATACATGCGAAAGCTTAACAAATAATAAGACCGGTCATATAGACCGACCACCACTCGCTCTACTCCGCCATCGTGCCTACCTTGCTTAACCTTAAACGTGAATTTCAGGTGGGGATGAGCACAGTAGGAAAAAGTAGTGCTCACCACTATGCAGTAAACATTAATCAAACAAATCAACAGTATGAACTCAGCATGAATAAGAATCAATTTAATATCTCAATCTCCTGTCATCATAATATCGTCACTCAGCATGAATTAGAATCAATTTAATATCTCAATCTCCTGTCATCATAATATCGTCATAAGATCGTCGTAAAATCAAGACTCATGTGCACACCTACGCATAGACTACTGCGGGGTAAAATACCGAATGCCCCTCGGGCTTCTATCGGTGCCCAAGCCAGTAGGAGTAAATTCTCAAAGGAGATTACCCAACGGGTACGTTCTATAGCTACGGGGATAACCGTTGGATGACCGGTACAGCTCACATCGAAGGCTACATGGTTCATATGCATACTTTGATCATACTACAAATAATTAACATTCATTCATATCATTTACAGCATAGCAAATTTTTAAATAAAACCTACCTAGTAATTCGGTAGAAAAGTCACACAAACAGGTCGGTAAGTCGAGGGCTCAAATCCTCAAACACCTATATTAAGTCCAGATGCTATAATCAACATCTATTCTGACTTAAACGGAAATCACAATTATTCTTAGCCGAACATGATTCGACTAAGTTATTCGTGAAATCCTGTGGACGTTGGAACACTTAGACTCGACACAAGACTCAACCAAACCACATATGGGAGTTCAAATAAATCCATCTAAGGATTGACCAAGTCAAACACTCAACAAAATGAAAAGCAAGTCGATTACCGATTTTAATTCCAAAACCATATTTTGAAAATAATGGCCATTAATCACATAAAAACAGTTGGTCAGGTTACCCAATGACTTAAGCTCTGAAATTTTAACCAAAATTACTCCTCCCAGAGTTAAGCAAAACCACCAATTTTCAGCCCCAAACTCAAAGTGTGTTATTTTATAAAATTCGAGCAAGCTTTTCAATAAAACGAGCCTAAATTAAAAACCTAAGATAATGAACAATTCAAGCCTTCAAATGTTTCGTCTAGGGAACTTCAGCATATGAACAGAAGCATGTAAAAATATCGGCCTTAAACACTTAGCATGTGAATTTATAAAATTAAAACAACATTCAGCAAATTTTCAAATTCTCCACATAACAGAACCTAAATGAACTCTAAAAATTCTCAAATCTTTTTATATGCTGAAACTCATAACAAAATAGACCTAGTCATAATTTTTCAGCAATTTAGCACAAAAGATCAATTTATTAAAATTAAATTACGAAACTGTTGAATTCAACAAATAATTTTAACACATAGCAAACGAAGCCCTAAAATTCCAAAAATTTTACACGACCTATAAAACATACAGGAAAACGACATACTCAAATTTCATAAATTTTGGAGCACAACTCAATTTAATAGGCATTTAACAAGATTCTGCTCAGAATTTCATACAATTATTAAAAATAGCTATACTTAACATTTTAATACGAAATTTTTACACAACCTGTATTATCAGCAGAGGGACTATCACACAAAATTTCACGGCAATACAAGCAGCATACAGTTTATCATAATTTATATACAAAAACATTTATAAAAATAGCGACAATACAAGTTCATTAATTCATAACCGACTCGTTTTACGACGAATTCGTCCGAGGCCTTCGCCATAAGGTCAAGAACTCAACAATGTTCCGTTTTCCACAGTCCTATACACGAATGACGAGCTCTCGTTCGATTTCTCAAAATCGACGAGTTCGTCTACACACATTCACATATATATCGACCCAAATTCGAACCCATGAAGACAAAATTTAACATAGGCACAATCACATGAATTCGATAATCACATTCAACAATAAAAAACACAACATAAACAAGGCGTAAAATTAAACGAGACGGGTCGAGCCTTGTACCGTTCTCGAGAAAGACGCTCGAAAAACGGAACAAAGGAGGGTTGAACGAGAATAGAAAAACGGTTGGCTAATGAACTCGGAAGACAGCTCAACTCTCGACTAGCCGCTGAACCAAAAAGCAAAAGGGCTGCTGGTTTGATTTGCTATTCTCGGATTCCTCTTCTCGGCTCGTCGCTGCAAATCCCGGCAACAAGTGCCTGTCAGAGTGACTCGCCGCCACTCGAGTGAAATGGAGAGGCCCGTTTCTGCTCGACTCTCTTCTCTCTCGCGCGAACTGGCCGGCGCTGCTGCTACACACGAAGGTCGCTGTTGTTTGAGTGAAAAGAAGAGGCACGCCGGAATCTGCTGCTCGTCACGCGTGGCCCGCTGCTGACGGAGATGGAGGCATGACCTGCCGCTTCAAATACTGCCCGAAGGTCCCCTGGTGCTCGATCGAACGAGGTACTGTTGCTCCTGGCGATGGAGGTTCGATGGAATCTGAAATTCGAATAAGGGCTCGCTTGCTAGGATTCTCGATGTGTACGGACAGAAAGAGGGTCGATACTGCTACTCGGAGTTCATCGGCGATGGTGAGAAAAGGACGACCGTCGCTGCTGCTTAATGAAGGTCGCCGACGAGAATTCATCTCGTCATGTTCGTCGGCGGTACTGCTCGGGATTGAACAAGGAACCTGTTGCTCGCCGGTGAGGGATTGAAGGTGGCGTCGGGGCTGCGAGAGAGCTGAGATTTCCGATCAATTTGGAGAAGTTTCGATCGATTATCATTTCGTTAATTGGGTTCTGCAAAATATGAGGGTGTGCGATCGGGTTGGGATTTTGATCGATCTTAAAGGTCGCGAGAGAAAAAGAGATTGAGCCAACAGAAAAATAAGGCCAAATTGCATCAAAAACCCTGACCTTTGCCTAAATTCTAAATAAATCTCAACTTTTTTAAGTTTGCCATAAAATACCTCACCTTTTAGTTCTGTTGCATTGTAAGCTTCGATGAGATTTCCGAGCTCGTCCTTGCTGATGTGTCCGGCGAGGTGATGAGATGTCCAAGTAAAAAAACTGACGTGGCTTTTATGCCTTATAACATCAAAAACCCATTTCCACATCACAATTTCTTCATTTCTTCCATTCCCAATTTTTCCCCTCTCTGCAACCCTAATCGCGATTCTTTCATCCCCAAAATTGAGGCGCTGCAAAATTAAGAGCCAATATCAACGAGACAGAGTTGAGGCGCTGCAATATCAACCCTAATCGCGATTCTTTCAGCCCACAATGTCTGATAATTCACGCACGAGCTCAAACAATCGCCACTTCAGAACATCTGGCAGCTCGGTTAGGGCGGTATTCTGTGAGCATGGTGAGGAAGGAGATGTGTTTACATCAATGACAAGTGACAACCCAGCAAGAAGATTCTGCAAATGTCCCCACCATAAGGATAAGGTAAAAACTTCACAACTAGCTGCCTCCAACATGTTAATCTTTTGTATTATTTACCCAAATATGTGACAAATTGGCTTGAAATATTTTGAATGAATTTGACAATCAGTTATTTTTTACGTAGATCAAAAAACCTTGTACCATGTTTGTTCGGATCGAACCGGAATTGCCACCATTTCAAAAGGGTTGTTTTGTTAAGCTTAAAGCAGAAAGGGACATATTGCAAGAGCAACTAATGTGCAAGAACGTAATGGAGAAGCTTCTTTCAGAGAGGTTGGAGCTAAAAGCTGTTGAGTTAGGAAAGTTACAAAATGAGAACAATGAGTTGGTGAAGAGGTTGGAGTTAAAAGCTGTTGAGTTAGGAAAGTTACAAAATGAGAACAATGTGTTGGTGAAGAGCTTGGAGTTAAAAGTTGTTGAGTTAGGAAAGTTACAAAATGAGAACAATGAGTTGGTGAAGAGCTTGGAGATTCAAGTAACAGAAAATGTTGAATTGAAATTACAACTTGACCTTGCTATTAGAAAAGCTGGAAATTTGGAGAAGAAACTCCTAATTCTGAAAGTTGCACTCTTCTTTGTTGTTGTCTTTGTTCCAATGTTCCAGTTGTTTAAGTAGGTTTGGGTGTGTGCCTGTTTTGGTGGCCTGTGTGCCTGTTTTCTTTGTACTCTTTTGGTGGATTGAATGTTCTTTAAGTGTTGTTTAATTTTTGTGTTGCTGGTAGTTTGTAGTAGGTTTGGTTGTGGTTTATAAATCCTAGTTGTCTTTCGCTTTGTTCCCACTTGAGGTGGTCATTGCTTTTTTACATTATGTTGGAGTTAAGAAATGGAAGTTTCATCATTTCAGGAAAACAATTAAGACTTGTGACAAGCTTTGCTATTTAATGTAATAGTGTTTGTGACATTTGATTTTTCTATTAGTTGATAGTATGTACATCATGATACACTAAATGAGACCACTAAAAGTAAAAGAGACAACAACATAAATATAATTGCAACCTGAAGGCAAAAAACTGGTACATTGTATTTTTATCACCAAAAACATGTCTTAATCCAAAACAATTGTGTAATGCCACAATATCATAAGGCAAAATAGACACAAGACTGCACTATGTTGTTTTATCCAAAACAATTGTTCTCATCCAAGCAACAACTGTCTAATGCCACACTGTCACAAGACCATTGTTCAATCCAAAATAAATACAAAAAAAGATCACAAATTTCAATTGTTTAATGCACTCTCTTGAGTGCAAACATTGTCATCTCTTAGGCCTGTGGCAACTGTCCTCCTTTCACTTGAGCTTGCACCAATTGATCTTGAATCTCCTGAGGGTACATGAGCAGAAATCTGCAGCACAAAATAGATATAAGCAGACAACTAAAAAAACATTGATAAGTATTTGAAAGCTTAAGAGTAGACATCACCCACTAAAAAAACATTGATAGACATCACCCACTTGAAAGCTTAAGAGTAGACTTTCACTATGCCAAATAAATGCATCCAAAAAGGATAAATAAATAAATAACAAAACATGCCTGTGACATGGTGCTTGCACCAATTGATGTTGAATCTTTTGAGGGTATGGAGTGAATCTTTCTATGAGAAGACATCTGCAATACAAAATAACATACAATTTTATTATGCACAATTATGATAAAATTAAATTCATGAAAAGAAGGGTAACAGAAAAAGACATGTACATACCCTCAGAAAACTATTGCCTGTTTCTTCACATTGTAGGAGACCAAATCCTTTCCTAGCCTATAAAGTATCAACATTCCAATTAATTGATGATTTCTATCTAAACTATACATAAACTAAAAAATTAAGCAAATAAAAACTACCATTGCCCTCTCTTTTTGAACCATTGAACTATGTCGATGGTTCACATTCCTTCTAACTGGTAACTTAGTTCCTCTCTGAATTGATGAATTGTTTGGCTCCACAACAGGAACTCCAGATGAAGATTGGGTGTTTTTCTTTGGCCTTCCTTTTGGTTTCTGCCAAGATGAAAAGAAAATGACATTATACCTCATTATATGTTATATTAAATTCAGTTTGTATTGTCTAATATATTTGTTACCTTGTCTTCTCTCTGAACTGGTTCTTTTTTACAAGTCTTCTTGTTGTGACCTTTTTGAAGACAATTTTGGCATGTCATTTGGAGACCAAATCTCTTCAACTTTGTGGCAAATTTTCTCTCTTCTTCAGGTGCCCTTCTCCTTTTCTTCTTAGGCCTCCCAGGCATCTTTCTGAATGGTGGTGGCTTGATAGGATATCCAGAAGCAACAGGCCATAATTTCTTACCATTAATTGGCTCCAAGGCAGTGGAATACAAACTAATGTACTTTTCAACACTATACCAATCATGAACATAATCAGCTGCATCTTTGTGAAGAAAATTAATTGCAGAACAACCATGAATACAAGGGATTCCTGTGATATCCCAATGCCTACATGTACAAGTTCTGTTTCTCAAATCAACAACAAACTGGTCTTCATCACATGCCACTTGAAATCTATCCCCTACAGCTGGTTGGGTCACACACAATCTAGACTTGAACTTGTTAGCCTCTAATTTGGACCTAATTCTAGGGCATATTGTATCTGTCAATCCACTCACCTCCATGAGCTTATTATATTGTCTGTGCATGAGCTCACTCCTAATGCATTCCAGCATTTCTATAATATGCTTTCCCCTAGCCTTCACAATATATCCATTAAATGTTTCACTAACATTATTTTCAATCATGTCTGATCTAGGCATAGGAGAAATAAAGGCCTTGCAAAACCTGGAAGGATTTCTCTCTAAAAAGTCCTTGTATGCTTCCTCATCTTCTGCTTTCAAATCATCTAGAGCAATGTTGTATGCAGCTCTATGTGTGCTGAGCACCAATCTCCAAAATATAGACTTCAACACTTGGCCCTTGAATTTCTTTTTCCAATTCATATAAACATGCCTAGCACAATTTCTGTGCTCAGCATATGGTGTTAGGTCCTCAATTGCATTCATTAATCCCTATTCATCAATAAGACATAACTAGTAAGTAAAAAGAAAAGACAAAAAAAAAAAAATACAAACAGAAAAATAAAAGTACAACTAACTAAGTACAGATGAATATGATCTTACCTTTTGTTGGTCACTGACAAAAGTTAAACCAAGGCCATCACCAATTCCCAAATCCTGAAACAAAATGGACAAAAACCATTTCCAACAAGCTTCATTCTCAGCTTCAACCACTGCCCAAGCCACAGGGTACATTTGGTTATTTCCATCCTTTGCTGTGGCACAAAGTAGTGCACCACCTAAAAAGGTCTTTAGAAAGCAACCATCAAAGCCTAAGATTGGCCTACAACCTCGTAAAAAACCTTTCCTAAGGGCACTAAATCCAATGTAGAAGGATTTCAACACAGAACCTTCTTGTAACTGAAACTCAAATCTTCCATCCCTATCAACTCTTTGTAGCTCAGCCATATAACTTCTAAGAGAGGCATAATGATCAGAAATGGATCCTCTCAACATTTCCAAAGCCTTTCATTTCCCTCTATACAGCTTCCATTTGGTAGGTTGAACAGTATAATTCCTTAATATGTCATCTGCCAATTGATCTATTGTGAAATTTGGATTTTTCCTAAAAATGCCAATATACTCCCTAGCAATCCAATCTCCTGTCACTTGCCTAGTATGCACATCCCTATGGCATCTATGTTCAGGATTCAAGTGCTTAATTGTAAACCTACCCTCAGACCTAATTGGAGAAGCATAAAGACTCCAAGGGCAGCCCCCAACACACTTGGCATGTATCTGCCTTTTACTGGTTTTGACATTTCTTATGTTGTAACCATTGACAATGGCAACCTTTTGTATAGCCCTTCTAATCTGTTCTGCAGATTCAAACCTCATCCCAAGCACAAAATCAAAGTTTTTGTGATCACAGTTTGGATCATAAAAGATCTTTTTTTTTTTTACTCCTAGTTCTCCCCTCATCAACATCAAACTCATCACCACTGGAAGAGTTTGATACTACAGCATGGTCATAATCTGAACCCTCAGATTGTGGTTCTGGTAGATCATCAGGAAATTCCACTTGTACATAATTAACATCCTCCTCAGATGGAGCAGCCCTCTTATATTCCTTAAAATTCCTCCTGGCAACAATTCTCTCTTCATCATCTGAAGCAAGTTCATGATCTGACAATCCATCATTAGATGAACTCTCATCTACAGGCACATAATCTTCATCTTCACCACTATCAGAAAAGCCTTTCCCCTCAGTACTGTCCTTCCCCATTGGTATCATCACAATATGCTCATCTTCATGAGTCTGAATTTCAGAGTAATTATGATCACCCTCATTTTCTTCTTCCAAGCAGTTATCCACATAAACATCAATTACCTTCTCTCCTTTCTGAACATATCCAATCATCTCCATTACTCCATCATCATTATGGACAAGTCTCATAGAATCAGACCCTTCAACCCCTGGAACTTTGTAATAAAACGGACCCCAACTTGTGTATCCAAGGTTTTGCACTTCATCCTCTAACTCTAGATAACCAAACCTATCGACATCTAAGTCATGTAAAATCTTAAAACCAAATCCATCATATTCCATCCCTAAACTGGTCCTATTGAATTTTCCACCATGGTTTATATAAATGGAGAACTCATCCCTGCAAGTTTCAAATATGGATACATTTAAACATACATACAATTACTAAAAAAAGATACATTCCAGTTATAAGCTAATTTAGAATATGAAAAACCTAATTTCAAAGAATTAACCAATTTTTCAAAATCTCTACAAAGAATGCCCAAATCACGAAACCCTATCTTTTGGCTCAGGGGGAATACCTGTTATCCATTGATGACACAACAAATTTTTTGGAGCTCCACCTCTGTCTCGTTGATATTGGCTCTCAATTTTGCAGCGCCTCAATTTTGGGGATGAAAGAATCGTGATTAGGGTTGCAGAGAGAGGGGGAAAATTGGGAATGGAAGAAATGAAGAAATTGTGATGTGGAAATGGGTTTTTGATGTTATAAGGCATAAAAGCCACGTCAGTTTTTTTACTTGGACATCTCATCACCTCGTCGGACACATCAGCAAGGACGAGCTCGGAAATCTCATCGGAGCTTACAATGCAACAGAACTAAAAGGTGAGGTATTTTATGGCAAACTTAAAAAAGTTGAGATTTATTTGCAATTTAGGCAAAGGTCAAGGTTTTTGATGCAATTTGGCCGAAAAAAATGAGTTGCGCCGGATGAAAGAAGATTAGGGCCTTAATAACGATAGGAGGGCTTGATGTGTAATGGGCGGAATTTGCAAGTTATTTGGGCCGGTTCGGCTTGAGCACGGTTCACACGGGCCGGGCTCACGGATTCAAGGCTGGTTCAATGAAACGACTTGGCTCTCGGGCCCGACTAGACGTAAAATTAAATTGGTTCGGCTCGAGATTTTAAATCGCACGATAAATAAACTGGATATTATATATATTTATAATACACACAATTTAATTTTAAAATAATAATAATATTAGTAAAATTACAAATACACATTTTTTATTAAATAAAAACACTTAGACAATTAGGCAATTAATTACAATTTAGCAATTAAATAATATTTAGACAATTAAGAAATTTGACAAATAAATCATATTAGACATTTAATAATTTTTAGCATTCAAATAATAATAACAACAAATAAAGATAAATAATAATAATAATAATAATAATAATAATAATAATAATAATAATAATAATAATAATAATAAATAATTCCAAAAAATTCAACAATCAAACGGGGCATTACAAAACTGCTTAGACAACCACACCTTTACGTCTGACAACTCCTTCTTACTGTTTCCAATAAGCAGTATGTCATCTACGTAAAGCACAAGAAATATTACCACGCTCCCACTGATTTTCTTGTAAACGCAGTGCTCATCCAGACATTGAGTGAACCCGTACGACTGGATCACCTCATCAAAACGGATGTTCCAAGATCTCAAAGCTTGCTTCAGGAGCATACTCCTCATCAAAACGGATGTTCCACCGAACATACTCCTCTTTCTCCTGCTCAAGAGCATCAGCTGCCGGCACCGCCGGGCAAACATAAGTGATAGCAAACTTATAACCCTCAACAGTCAACACTATGTCAAAGTTCCTCTTCCAATCAATGTAATTAGGACCAGTAAGCTGATTTTCTTTTAGAATGACTGACAACAGATTGAACGACATGATGAATATCCTGAGAATCATGCACATAAATTTTACAGATTAAACACTTTCGAATTTAACTGTTAATATTGATCCAACACAATAGTTCCGTCCTCCACCAAATTACGAATAAAGTGGTAGCGAATGTCAATATCTTTGGTACATGAACGTTGGACGGTATTTTTCAAAATATTTATTGCACTGGTGTTGTCACAGAAAAGTTGAGCCGAATTTACCCTCATACCATACTCAGAGAGGATTTGTTTCATCCAGACTAACTGAGAACAACAGCTTCCCGCGGCAATGTACTCAGCTTCAGTAGTCGAAAGAGAGATACAGTTTTGCTACTTATAGAACCAAGACACCAGATTTGATCCCATGTAAAAACAACCGCCGGAAGTGTTTTTTCCTATCATCAAGATTTCTTGCCCAGTCCGCATCACAATAACCTGCAAGATTCATGTTCTTATCGGCAGAATAAAATAACCATAATCAGATGTACCTCTAACATATTTGATGATATGTTTAACAGCCTTCATATGGGATTCCTTGGGATCCGACTGATACCTGATACAAAGACCAACACTAAGGCAAATGTCAGGTCTACTAGCAGTGAGATAGAGAAGACTACCAATCATACTTCTGCACAGGGTTTGATCAACAGATGTACCTTCATCATCCTTAGACACTTTCACATGAGTGCCCGTAGGAGTTTAAGGGTTTTTAGCTTTTTCAAGATCAAACTTTTTAACAAATTTTTTTCGCATATTTGCTTTGATGCAAGAAGATACCATCTTTACCTTGTTTTACCTAAAGACCAAGAAAGTACGAAAGTTCGCCTACCAGACTCATTTCAAATTCTGAAGACATTAGCTTGAAAAAATGATTGACCAGATTCTTGGAAGTTGACCCAAAGATGATGTCGTCCACATAGATTTGAACCACCAGCACATCTTCATTTTTTCTAGGAGCAAAGAATGTCTGGTCTACTCTCCCTCGCTTGAATCCCTTTTCAAGGAGGCACATGGTAAGGGTTTCATACCAAGCATGAGGTTCTTGTTTTATCCCGTACAAAGCCTTCTCGAGTCTGTAGACATGATTAGTGTTTCTGGGATCTTTGAATCCTACAGGCTGCTTAACGTAAGCTTCTTCATGCAAGATAGCATTCAGAAATGCCGACTTCATGTCCATCTGATAACCAATGAACTTCATTAGACATGAAATCGATAAAAATATACGTACCGATTCGAGCCTTACGACCGGAGCAAAGGTTTCATCAAAGTCCACTCCTTGAGTCTGAGTGTAACCTTGAGCAACTAATCTGGCCTTGTTGCGTGTCACATTACCAAGCTCATCAGTCTTGTTCTTGAAGATCCACTTGGTTCCAATAACATTCCCTGATGAAGGTTCAAGTACAAGTTCCCAAACGTCATTTCTGGTGAATTGCTCCAATTCCTCTTGCATGGCTGAGATCCAACATTCATCCTTCAGCGCTTCTTTTGCATTCTTGGGTTTAACTAAGGAAGTGTAGCAAGTATAGTGAGAGATTCCCATGAGTTCCTTAAGTGAGGTTTTCGAATTTCTGGTAACCCCCTCATTCAAGTCACCAATGACCAATTCAGATGGATGACCATTCTGAATCTTCAATGGTGGATCTCGCTTTGGTTGTGCTTGACTTTGGAGTGTGGCAGGTACATTGTACTCTGTCATATTTTCCTGTGAGCCTTCAACTGTGTTCGGCCGTTCACTCTCCTCACTCTCTTTGACACTTTCAACATTCTGAGTACCATGTGTACTCACAACATCATCACACAAATTAAATGACACGGATGAACCAACATTGGGAGTTTTCTCATCAAAGGTTACATTCAAGGATTCTAAGACAGTGGAGGTACTTGTGTTGAAAACACGGTATGCTCGACTGTTGTTAGAATATCTAAGAAAGAACCCCACATCACATTAAGCATCAAATTTACCAAGTTGATCACGATCATTATAGATAAATCATTTACACCCAAAAACATGCAGATGACTAAGGTTTGCACTCTCACCTTTCAAGAGTTCGTATGACGTTAAACCCATACCTCGACGAAGGTACACTCTATTCACTAGATAAGATGCGGTGTTGATTGTCTCTGCCTACCATCTGTGAGAGATTTTCTTGGAATTCAGCATAACCCTAGCCATTTCTTGAAGGGTGCCATTCTTCCTCTCAACAACTCTATTTTGCTGTGGAGTCTTAGGTGCAGAAAACTCGTGAAAAATACCATGTGAATCACAAAAATTTGAAAACTCAATATTCTGAAATTCACGCCCATGATCACTTCGAATACCAAGTATAGGAAAACCCTTTTCATTCTGAACTTTCAGGCCAGGCATAGAGTTCTAAAGGCGGTAAAAGTGTCAGATTTCTCACGCGGAAAATCAATCCATGTATATCGTGAAAATCATCTACGCACACGAAAATGTACTTTTTACCTTGATAACTTTCAACTTGTATGGGACCCATCAGATCCATGTGAAGCAGCTCTAGAATTTGCTTCGATGCAATGTGATTCAGGGCTTTGTGAGAAGCCCGAGTCTGTTTACCCAGTTGGCAAGGTTCACATATCGGATGTTCCTTCATAGTAATTTTGGAAACTCCACGAACCACACCTGCATTTGAAAGTTTGACCAAGTGAGAATATCCAATATGACCTAAGCGTTGATGCCAGATTTCAGATTCACTGGCAATTTCTTGAACTTTTTCCACCAAAATCAACAAGATAGCAATTGTGAGTCGACTGAAATCTAGTAATCACACACGTACTTTCATTGTTTTTCACAAAACATTTGTCACGTGAAAAACTAACACTAAGACCTTGATCACAGAGCTGACTAACACTCAAAAGGTTACATTTCAAGTCATTCACAAGTAAAACATCATTCATCTTGGGCAAGCCACCTAGATTAAACAGCCAGTTCCAATAACTTTATTGCTCACCCTATCGCCAAATGTTACTTCACCATTAGATCCAGGTTTTACATCTGACAAGTACACAAGTTCACCAGTCATATGCCTTGAACATCCATTGTCAAGGTACCATTTACTCTCGAGTGGGGTTTTGAGGGATAAACTGATGCAAACTATTTAAAGGCATTTTTTGCAATCCATACTTGTTGATTTTTCACAATTTTCTTTTGAAAACTGGGCCGATGAACTTTCACTGGAATTCCAGAGTAGTTCCAGTTTGACACTCTTCTAGTGCAGAGATCATGTTGCATTTTGTAACACTTGGGTCTGATGTGGCCCGTTATACCACAATAATGACAAATGGGAATGAAGTTACGTGATGATTTACTCCCAGAATCACTGACTGGGAATGAACCTTCACGTTACTTTCTAAAGAAGGGGGTTTACTTACAGTTCTTTTCACAAACCTGATGTAGAAATCAAGTGAGGGTTTCCCATGTAGACTAGTACCTTCAATACCTGGCTTGTTGGAGAATCCAAGTCCTGGATGTTTGCTTTTGGTTGACCGGTCTGATGAACTTTCAGGGTTTTCAGCTTTGCCTATATATCCCAGCCCTGTAAGGTCACCATATTGCCTTTCCATTGTGAGAAGTTCATTCAAATCTACTTTTCCTTTGTTCAGTTTTCTCACGG